TCTTTGTGCACTTGAGTGCATGCCTTGTGAAAATACTGATATGGGTTATAACTTTTCTAGTTATCAGTCTAACCCAAACAAGGCCCATTCTCGTATTGATTATGTCTTTGCTGTCGAGAATGTATCATCTTGGATTTCCAAAGAATGAAACATCATTCTTGTTTATCACGCTACATGAAGAACTCACGAGAAAACTTGTGATATTGCATGGTAGTGAGGGATAATTATGCACAAGTATGTGTTGACAAGTTTACCTTGATAACATAGTTTCGTTAATCAAGTTGACGAATGAAATCTCCCACATGAGGAAATTGCCAAGATGAATTATCAGTAATAGCATAAGATCATGGGGATTTATGCTTCATGAAGTTAATCATGCGGGACTTTTAAATGGTCACTTCCGAAAGCTACATTTGAGAAGTATGTTTTCCGCAACTCTCTGATTTATTTAGGTGTTGGAATCAGGGGGAGAATGCTAGACGTCAAGGAGCACATCATGCCGACGTCAGGGGGAGGAACTTATAGGGTGTCCTCGACCATGATGTACTCTTTTTGGTCCTTATCCAAGGTTGTTTTTCCCACTGGGTTTTATTACTTGGAAAGGTTTTTAATGAGGCATCACCGAAAATGGTCAACCCACTTATGCATTTGCACTTAACAAATCCAAGCCTATTTTTCCCACTGGGTTTTTTCGCTGGTGATGTTGAGTAGCATGTAGATGTGCATTAGCATTCATATAAATGATTACTTCATCACGACACGTTGAGATTACCTTAGTCTTGGTTTGTTTTTGTCCCAATGGGTTTTTATTTCCAGACAAGGAATGAAGGTGGGGTTTTACTTCACCGTCATACGTAAATATCAAACTTTTTATTGTATTTGTTTCCCATGCTCCAACCATCTCTATCTCTATGCCATAGTTGTTAGTGAGTACCCTCTCATCTCGATGCCGAAACTCACCCACCTTAAGAACTACTAGAGTCTTTGCAGATAATTCTTCTAACAATTCCTAAGGGCCTCAAGATGTAAAATAATGACCCTCAACCTTTCATCTCGATACTGTCGATAGCAAGTAAAATCTTACACTTTTTCACTAAAGATCGATATATAATTAACTTATTTTCTCTCTCTCGATGCCAAACCAAGTTAACGAATGCACGTGAGGTATGAAAGTCTCTACACATGTAAAAATATCTCTCTTTTTGTATTATTATTAAGAACAAAGAGTAAAAACTATTCCAAGGTGGTTAATCCTAAAATAATTAACTTTCGTGTATGGAAAACGAAACACATATAGAAAATTCTTCTAGTTACCTAATTGGCTTCTAGAATCCCATGAAGGGTTTAGTCATGGTGCTGGAGATGATGATTATGATGGTTGTTGATGAAGAAGACATAATTAAAGATCTAGAATAAAATACGAAAAGTTAAACCAACATAAAAGAAATAAAACTAAAGACTTCTATTAATAAATATAGATATCATTCATAAATAAAACCTAAGCCTAAGTTGAAACTCTCAATCTTGCAGAAAGCTTGCTTCAATTTCGTGATAATTGAAGTATGTATAGACCTAGAGTCACTTTTACAGTAAAATACTTCTGCCGACTTTCTGGACTTCAAACTTCACAGGCTGGGCCTTGGAAACATGGGGAAGAGATAAAGGACTATCAAGGTTTGGACGAAACTCAACTCGCTTGGGGCGAGTTGGGTAACCGTGGCAACACGCTTGGGGCGAGTTTGACACAATCCAGAATTACAGTTTTATCTGAATTTGAGCTCCAATCTGATTGACTTCTGCTACATCAAATGTTTTGATATTTCACAGTCTTGAAGTTGAGATTGTGATCTTTCCAACCATGTCTTCGGATTGTCAATCGGAGTTCTCTAAAACTAACAAAACCACGCATATAATATCACTTTATATAAAAACTTAGGACAATTAGAGGCAAATAAATGGGGATAAATAAGCAGTTTTGGGCGCTTATCATGTAGTTTATGCTTTTACGTTCGGGTAATACATACACTCCATTAGGTAAAAATAATTTTCAAGTTAGTACAATAGCTTTAGATAATAGTCCTTTAGGATTGGCAAATATTTTGTTCGAGTTAGATTTTGAAGAAAGTGACTCGATACCTTTTTTAGAAATGGCTATCCCTGAAAAACCACTTCGTGATCTTTTTGCTCCTTTGTCAACTGGACCGCCGAATTACATCGTTTTTCCCATACTTGAAGATGGAGCTGATTTCAAACTTCACTATGACATCATTAATATGTTGCCTAAGTTTAATGGTCATGAGTGCGAAGATCATTATACTCATCTACAACAATTCGTTCGTATATGCTCAACTCTCAATGAGAATAAGTTAGGAGTAGATGGTATTCGTTTAAGGTTATTCCCGTTCTCTCTACATGACAAAGCATATCAATGGTTACATTCTTTGGCCAGAAACTCTATTCAAACATGGGATAAAATGAACTCTAAATTCCTTACAAAATTCTATCCCATGTCTAGAACCATTGAACTTAGAAATAGAATTCAAACTTTCAAGCAAAATTATACTGAAGAATTCTATGAAGCTTGGGAATGAATCCGAGAGTTACAAATCCAATGTCCACTCATCAAATTCCTTTAGAAACTCTCGTTCAATGTTTTTACAATGGTCTTAATCCTACCACTCGTGCAATGATTGAATCTATGAATGGTGGTACTTTCCTTTGTAAAACTGCAACCCAAGCCAATTATTTCTTCATTAAGCTTGCAAATAATTCTCAACATTGGGGCAATAGTCCCAATCCTATTCTTGGAGTCTATGAAGTCAAACCTTCGGCCAAAATAGAAAGTGATGGTAAAGTGAAAATTTTAATCCAAAACTTAGCTAAAAAGGTAGAAGCTCTATCTTTACAAATTAACCAACCAAATCCCATAATGAACGTTAATGATATGTGTCAAGTTTGTAATGGAACCGATCATAATGAAGATAATTGTCCATTCACTCCTTACGAACAAGAACAAGTAAACCGTATTTGGGATAATAGAACTAATGCTTCACCTCAAGGCAACACTAATAATGTTAAACCTTTTAACAAAAACCACAAAACTTTCAAGGAAATAATATGAATATAAACCCTAATGGATACATGAAGCAAAACAATAATTTTCAGAATTATGGGAATCCTATGAATAGTACACATATAGACAAAGTCGAGCAACCTAAAAGTAACTATGAAGATGACACAAAATAAAATCATTGAAAGACTTGAACAAAAAGTTTATAATATAGATGCCGAAATGAAAATGAAAAATTCCAGGGACAACATATTCCAAACCCAAAACCTATACAAAAAACTTTTGAAATTTCTACTAGTAATGTCCCAATTCAACAAGAAGAAGCCAAGGTAATAACTACTTTACGTTCTGGAAATCCCTATGATAATAAAGTAGTAATACCTCCTGAAGATGACATAATGGAAAATAATTCTAATAATAATGAAAATAATGTTACTTCAAGTACAAATAACACAATAATTGACGTTGAAAATCCAATAACTAGTAAGAAAAACAAGGATAATGTTTCTACAAGTCCAAATGAAAATGACATACCTTCTTCAAGTTCTAAAAAAACTAAAATCAATGAGTACAACGAAGAAATACGTCAATACATACCAAAAGCACCATATCTAAATAGATTTTTAGGTCCCGACAAGGAGGAACAATTCAATAAAATTAAAGAAATTTTCAGGAATTTACACATTAATATTCTTTTTCTCACCACACTTACAAACATGCTAAATATCTTAAAGAGCTATGTACGGTAAATAAAAGACCTAATGTACCTAAAGATACCTTTCTCACCGAACAATTACCTTCCTTTGTCAAACAAAATGGAGTTGTAAAACACAAAGATCCTGGAAAACCTAGAATAACTTGTACACTAGGTGATAGATTTCAAAGTACCGCTCCTTAATATTTGTTCCAAAAGCTTGGACTTAAAGAATTAAAACCTATTCGAATGATACTTCAACTAGCCGATAGGTCGGTTAAATACCCACGAGGAGTCATGGAGTAAATTTTGGTTAAGGTTGCGGATTTCTACTATCTTGTGGATTTTGTCATATTAGATACACAACACTTAATCGATGTTTCTACACCAATTATTTTAGGTAGGCCTTTCCTAGCTACGACTAATACCTTAATAAATTGTAGAAACGGAACTATGCTCATAATTTTTGGAAAATAAAAAATTGAAGTAAGCATTTTTAAGAAAACAAACTATTGATAAATATCAAGCCGAAGAAGTTTATAATATACAAGATACACATTTGTGATATTCCTTACACAATGGTGTCCAATATACTAGAGGGGGGGTGAATAGGGTATTTAAAAAATACTTAACAAAGTTCACCCCCAACAACTAATACTAAGGCAAACTGTCACAACTAGATATGCTTAGACAACAAGATGCGGAAATAAAAGATATGCTAAGCAAGATAAACACCCAACAAGAGAAACCAACTAACAAGCTAGATCATAAGAGGAGATGTAAAGCTATGGACATGGTTTTAAATCTCTACAAAAGAATCAACTCAACCTCCTAGTCGTTAGACACTTGTTCAACTAGATTAGGATGATTGGATCAACCCTAATCAATGAACTAAGTAATCTAACTTCTAGTTCTAGATTTGTTGTGGAGTTGAGGGGGTGAGTAGAGAATGAGACACTCTCACCCTTTCTTCTACCACAATACAAATCAACTAGAAGATTGGTTTGATGAGATGTAGAGATGTTCCACAAGATAAACTACTAAGCATATAGATCTATACTACAAGCAAGAAAGCAAACCACAAGACAATATATATAGTGGTTCGGCCCAAGATTGGCCTACGTCCACTCTTCAAGTCGCCTCTTGCTATTAAGATAGATCCAAAGTCTCGGAACCCGTCCAACCAACTCTACACAACTCCCATTTGTGTTGATCTAGTCTAACTTGAAAGTTGTAGAGATTTTTCCTAAATCTCTAACCTAGAATCCACTATGGTTTAAGAGTAGCTTGTCACAAAGCCACCCACTTTGAACTCCTTCTCAAGGATTTTCCACCAAACTTGTAGAGAACAATTTGGGTTTTCTCTCTCTCTTGAAGAACTCACTTTATGAGTAGATAGAGAAGAAAATGGAAGCTCACTAGGGTTTATATGAACACCCTATAACAAACACTCACTCTCTCTTGAATGGATTGGAAAGATATGGAGAGATGAGTGGAAGGAAGATGAAGATCTCTCTCTACAAAGAGCACTCACTAAGATGTGTTAATGGCCTCTTGAAAGCTCTCTTGAAATCTTAAAAACCTTAGAGAATAAACTCTCTCTATGTTGCTTTTATAGTCAAAACCCTAATTAGGTCGTTGGTCAAAGTCATAGGACCAACTAGGGTTTT